AGAGATGGGGTCTCACTCTGTCAACTAGGGTGGAGTGCTGTGGTGCAATAATAGCTCTACTATGATAAGGGCTCACTGAAGCCTTGAACATCTGGGCTCAGGCAATTCTGCCTCAGCCTCCCAAGTAGCTGGGAATACAGGTGCATGCCACCATGCTCAGCTATTCTTTTTTAAATTTTTATACTTGAGGGCTATGCTGACCAGGCTGGTCTCAAATTCTTGGCCTCAAGTGATCCTCCCATCTCAACCTCCCAAGTTGTTGGGATTAAAGGCATGAGCAACTGGCAACTTTTACTATAAAAATGCCTTCCAGCTGATAATTAAGAACATTTGGTGGCTTTAAAAAACTGACAGAATATCTGAATGGTATAGAAAAGACTTCTATACAGCTTAAAGTTCTTTGCTGGCACTTGATTTTATAATTAACAGACACAGATAGCTTCTGATACCAACAAAATACTGTTCCAAGTTTATACATTTTCAAAATCAGTATCACTTCACAAAACAGTAAAGAAATATCACTTCTGAAGAATCCTCTAAGATGAACACCAACACTGTACAGCCAAAATATTTTAGAAATCATATAAACCTTTTAACATAAGGCAATGGATAAAAAATTATACAACCAAATCCAGTGGAAAAAATAATTCTTCCTGATTCAATGATGTATCAGGTTTAGATTGAAAACACAAAACTACAAAGCAAGTTGCTTCTTTTTAAAGTTTTCAGAAGTGACACAGCTAGGAAAGAATTGTTTAGATAAAAACTGTTCACTTTTTGCAAATATATACTCTCTCTATTTTTTTTCTATGTTTTGGAGTTGGAGCCTCATTCTGTCGCCCAGGCTGGAGTGCAGTAACATGTTCACGGCCACCATAGCCTTGACCTGTTGGGTTCAGGTGATCCTTCCACCTCAGCTTTCCAAGTAGCTGGAACTACAGGCATATACCACCATGCCCAGCTAATGTTTTGATTTATAGTAGAGATGAGGTCTCACCAAGTTGCCCAGGCTGATCTTGAACCCCTGGACTCAGGCAATCCTCTCGCCTCTGCCTCCCAAAGTGCTGGGATCACAGATGTGAGCCACTGCACCCAGCTTACATTCTATATTTCAAAATTAAAGTGAAACTTCTTTTCATACAGTAAAATCCTCGGGTTTGTTGTTTGTTTTTTTTTGCATCAGTAAGCTTATAGCCATTCTGTATATTATTATAAATGAAATCACCAGTCACTTTAATATATACATTCACTTTTTTCTTCTCAGAAGAACACTAAACTCAGTAAACCAGTTTTAAATTAGAACATATTTTGTAAAATTCCAGTTTAACGTTTTGAAGATCTACTACATTGCTCTGAACGAAAATATATGCTCTAAAACATTATCTAGCAATTTCTATCCAATCACTTTTCTATTACAAAAATTAAAATTCAAAAGTTACAGTGCTTGTGGCAGGAAACAGAAAATTTATAAGACTAGGTTAATGTAATGAAACATAAACATTAAGTAATCAGAAGACTACTAGATTTTTAGCACAGCAAATTATTAAAAGATTGACATGAATGTTAAAATTTTATAAAAATCAAATGACGTCAGCATATCAAACATTACCTTTTCTAAACCAAAACTGCAGTTAATCAACTTCCCCCCGCTTTGAGAACAGAAAGGATACTTAAGATATTTTCCAGAACAGTAAAAACAACTTAGTGTTTCAGTTTTGTCACAACAAATCCTGTTGGTCCTGTACATTTCACTGTGCTACTCGCAGCCAAAAATCATCAGAAAAAGAACTTGAACCTACTGACTCAAGAGTCTAGCTCACTGAATCCACCAATGTCCCATTCAGTACTAGATTCACTTGGTATATAATCTTCTTTAGTGAGAAAACTGACCAGGTTCAAGGCAGGAAGGATAAACATGAGAGGCAAAAAAATAAGAGTCAAAACTGCAAAAGGCCTAATGTGGCACCCATATTAATCCACTGATATCCCCTAATATCATATTCATACATGATCATTCCATTTCTTTTCCATTGTGTGGTGTGAGAGGTGTAGGCAACAAAATTTTTGGCTATACTGGATAATCTGGTAGCTGCTGGTCTCTGACACCAAAGGAATATTATTAATCTGCCTCCACTCTGGCCTGACTGGATTGTGGGCCTTCATGACTGGGATGACACAGATACAGCAGATCTCATCATTGAAGACACATGCTTCCAGAAAGTCGCTCTGCTTCAGAGAAACACACTTCAGCCACCTATTATACCTAGGATCATAACAAAACATGCGCTTACTACTGAAGACATAGAGGTAGTCTCAAATTACCATTAGGTCAAAGGATATAAAAGAATGGGATACTGGAGACCACTGTTTCTCTAAACACTGTAGCATTCCACTTCTTTCAATTTAACTCCAGTAATAGGGTCTCGTCCACCCAAAATATAAATGTAGCCATTGAGGTATGCCGCATTCATGCCCTCACGACACAGCAAGCGGTCTGCAAGCTGCTGTCAACTATCCTGGGCTGGTTTATACACCCAGAGGTCTTTGCTGCGCTGGGCGGCTAGATAGACGTCATGGTCGGCAGAGACACAAACGGCCGGGGAGGTTAGTCTTAGTGTGTGCCAAGCTGGTCAAAGGCGACTGGCACTGTGTAAATATCCCCTGAGTATGGATCATAGCAGAGAAAGGGATCCCTGGGATGTCCAAAGATGACTACGATCTCCTTGGCACACATACCCAGTCTCTGGGGTTTTCTGCTGCAGATACAACGGAGTTGCTGGTGCTAGTGCTGCTGTTTGGCTTTGGCTCCAGAGACTTGTACAGCATGTCGCCATAGCGCATCTGCAGGGCCCCTTCAATGATGTCCAGGCAGTACTGCTTCACAATGGGCTTGGTCAGCAGCAGCCCTTGCAAGAGGTCTTGATCTATTTCCGTGAAGTGCATCCAGCGCACACACTTGAAGACTTCCGTAGCACTGGGACCCCGCTCTTGGGCGCAGCCTCCAGCCACTACACAGCCACGTGGCATACAGTCCACTCCCTATCTACGTCCAGACTATCCAGGCGCAGCCACTGGACCAGAGTCAGATCCTCTAGAGTCTCCTTCCGAACTGAGCCCATTCGGCTTGAAGTTGTGCGCAATAAAGGACTGGGCCTGAGACCGCAGCTTGTGATGGTCAAAGGCGTCGGCAAACTTGAGGATGGCGGTGCAGTTGGCCAGGTCAAGGCGGCGGGCTAAGAACGAGGCACAGGCTTCCCGCACATACTCCAGCTGCAGCATGTCGGAGGCCGCGTACAGGCGCTGCACGTTGGCCTCGCTCAGGGACACGCGGCCCGTGTAGCAGTAGTCGACCAGCACCTCGAAGGACTCGGCGTCCACGTCGTGCATGGTCACGCTGGCCTGCTGGCTCTCGTACATGCCGCCCGTGAACATGCTCTTGAAGTAGGGGCACGCGGCGGCCAGCACGTTGCGGTTGCACGAGAAGAGGCGGCCGGTGCCAGGCCCGCTGCCGGGCGTCACCACCTCGATGGTCACATCACACAGCAGCCGCGCGTCGTAGAAGGACTTGAGCTGGGCCAGCAGCGCCGCAGAGTGGGCCGCGTCCTTCAGCTCCTCCGGGCCCGCGAAGAAGGCCGACACCGAGGGCTTGGAGAGCCTCTTGGGCCGCCTCCCGCCGCGGGG